TGGAACTGGATTTCTAGGGGACAGAGTGGAAAAGGAGAGGATCTCTTCACAAACCCTTGGGTTTGGTATAGGGAACAAAAACTATATACTAGATAAAATCCTAGGAGGTCTTTTAATCTCATCATTTTATGTTGCACTGAATTTGTAGTTAGGTAGAGGAAATAAGACATTGGAAGAGTGTGTGGGTATTCTGGGGGACTGGCCACATGTCCTCTTGCTCCTCCATTTATCCATGTCCTCTCGGAGGGTCAGGGCACTGATCTCCTTTGCTTCCAGGACAACAGAACAGACTTTCTCTTTTTCTCCCATCCACTCTTTTACTCATTCATTCACCTATCCTTCTACCCATTCACCCATCCATTCATCCATCTATCCATTCATTCATTCATCAAGATGGTGAGGAACAGACATTTTCTAGTATGAAGTGGGTTGATGGGAAGGGAGGGATGATCCCTCCCTGGGGTTTGCCTTTCTTGACTTTGGTCATGTGAAAAAGAAATTTCTTTCTTTTATCTACTCTGAATACCCTCACTCACTTTCTTTTAAAATCTTCGAATTCCTTTACCTCATTCCCCTTTGTGACAATAAGCAAAAGTTCTTGTCTAATCAAGTAATCAACTTAAAAAGTATTATTAGGAAGTCATGGATTTAAATTCATAAATTTATGGATTCATGCTTATGTATTTTAGTTACCACTGCAGTTTTTATACTTTTTGATGCTCAGATTATCTTACCTGTGATCAATGGGCCTCTCTTCAATTAGACTTCCATGTTCTTTTAAAAAGTTTTTTAAAATGGAGAGGCAAAAGGGTGCTATAAATAAGAAAACAATGGATAAATGGAACAAATAAACTCAGAGCCAGTATCTTGTGCTTTGACGCATTCACCTTTATATTTTTTCCTCTATTTTTTAAGCAAAAGATAACTGCAAGTAAGAGAAGAGTAAGCCATTTTCTAAAATTAACAGTTAGTAGACGGTGTATAGGCAGAACCAAAACCTAAATCATTTCTTTTAATAAGCTAAAAGTAAAAATATGGCTTTTATCACAGAGTACCTGAGAATCATGACCCACTTTTAAATGGGGGTTTGAGAGGTGAACCCTATCTGTTTCTTATAATCTTCTGAAGTAATCAACTTAAGAAATATTATTAGGAAGTCATAGATTTAAATTCATAAATTTATGAATTCATTCTCATGTATTTTAGCTCCCATTGCAATTTTCATACTTTTCAATGCCCAGATGATCTCATCTGCGATCAATGGGCCTCTCTTCAATTATACTTTCATCTTCTTTTAAAAAGTTTTTTTTTTTTTACCTTGAGACAATTGTAGATTCACACACATTTAAAAGAAACAACACAGACAGACCTCGTGTGCCCTTGACTTAATTTCCCAATGGTGACATCTCAAGGACCTACATACAGTACAAGATTGCAACCAGGATTGCGACATTGACATAATTCACGGATTTCATTGTAATTTCTCGAGTCTTACATGTATCTCATGTGATTGTGTCTTTCGTTTTATGCAGTCTTATCTCCTCTATAGGTTTGCTTATCCATCACCAGAACTGAGGCAGAGCGGTCCCATCACCACAAGGTCTCTTGTGTTACCCTTTTATAACCCCACACACTCATTCCTAAGCCATTCCTTTTCAGTCTCTGACCCCTGCCAACTGATCATGTGTTCTGCATTTCCATAATTTTGTCATTTCTAGAATGCTATATAAATGGAATAATACAGTATGCAACCACTTGGGATTGACTTTTTAAACTTAGCATAATTCCCTAGAGGTTTATCTATATTATACAGATATCAGCTGTTCATTCATTTTTGTTGCTAAAAAAACATTCTGTGGTGTGTGTGGACTCTAGCTTGTTTAGCCATTTGTTAACATCGCAGCACATCTGGGTTGTTCCCAGTGTCTGACTATTATGTTCTGTGTTTCTAATCTTTCTTGCTGCAACTTACTTGAACATTTTTGTGAATCCCTGCCCTAAAACATGATTTTAGGATCTCCACCCTAAAAGTGATTTATTGAAAGTGTTTTTGAATGTATTTCATTGTATGATGTTCTTACAAGAACAGCTGGCTCTGGGTATTATAGTACACAGGCATGACTTATCAGAGTCCACTGTCCTCAACATCTTACCATTTCAAGTCAAGTATGGAAATCTCACTTCCACATAGGTCCCTTTACTTTGCACATTTTAAGATATAATTGTCTCGACTATCAGTGGTGTTGTAATTTTTGTTTTGATCATCAAATACAATTTATAAAACTCATGGGGAATAGGATAGTATATTGCATTTACCCTTATTTCTGCTGTTATTTTTTTCTTCCTTTCCATATTTTCTTTTCTGAAGTTTGAGAAATTTCATTGTTTTAGTTTTCCTTCATCTGAAAATACCTTTACTTTCCCCTCATTCCTGAAAGATATTTACACAGGATACAAAATTCGCAGCTGACAATTCATTTCTTACACAATGGAAAATGTTGGGCCACTTTCTTCTGGCCTCCCAGGTTTCAGATGAGAGATCGCTAACCTTTGAATTGGTGTTCCCTATGGGTAACTCATCATTTTTCTCTGAATGCTTTAAAGATTTTTTTCTGTGTTCAGTTTTTGGAAGTTTAATTGTAGTGTGGCTTGGTGTAGATTTCTCTCAATTTATCCTATTTAGTTTTTGTTCAGCTTCTTGCATTTGTAAGTTTTTGTAGTGCACCACGTTTTAGGAAGTTTTCAGCTATTATTTTCTCCAATACTCTTTCGCTCTCGCTTGGTTTCTTCTTTTCTTTGGAGACTCCAGTGATACCGATGTTGAATTTTTTATTATTTTTCTATGTGTCCTTGAGCATCTGTTCACATTCCTACCAATCTATTTCCTCCCTGTTGCTCAGGTTGGGTGCAGTATGCTGATCAGTTCTCAGGTTCACTGATTCTGTCTTCTGACTTCTCTGCTCTTTTATTGGGACTTTCCAGTGAGTTTTATTTTTTTAATTTGTGCTATTACATTTTTCAGTTATGTAGTATCCATGTGGTTCTTTTAAAATAACTTCTTGTTTATTGAGAATTTCTGCTATCTCATTTGTTTCAAGACAATTTTAAATTGCTTGTTAAAGCATGTTTTTAGACTGGGTGCCTTAAAATACTAGCCAGGTCCCTCCAAAATCTGGTTTATCTCAATATTGTTGTCAATTGATTGTTTTTCATAATTCAAGTTGTGCTTTCTCTGGTTCATTTTATGATGGGCAATTTTTCATTGTATCTTGGGTATTTGGGACATTATGTTAGGAGACTTTTGGCCCTATGTAAAAATTGTTTATGTCTGCCTACTCGAGCTTAACACATGGGTCTTGTCCTATCTTATGGACTTTGACTCCAACAACAGTATAATTTCCATAGCCCGTGCAGTGCTATTTTGCCTGCTTAGTTTATCTGGTGCTGCTGGAATGCCCACCAATCCCTGATGCTGCTCTCTGAAGGGACATATGGGATATCTCCAAATCCATCTTCCAGGTGCATCTTCATATGGGGGACTTCAGTCTTGGGCAGTCAGACAAAAAGAGGACTTAGCAGGCCAGATCTTGGTTGCTTCGAGAACCTCTTTGCTGTGGGACGGGGAGTATTGCTAGGCCAGTCTGGGGTTCTGGTGGAATACTCCTTGCCCTGGCTGCTTATTGTCTGGGCTGGGTGCTTGTTATGACAGGAGTCCCTATGCTGGGCTACCTCAGATCCCCACTCCCCCCAGGGAAAGGAGACTCACTTCTCTGGCTGCTTATTAGTAATGAATATCCTACTTGGTCCCCCTGTTGGTGTTGCTGGCCTAGCCTGGTGGTATTGGCGGAACTCCTGGGCCATCCGAAGAGGAGTGAGCCCAGTGGGGCTGCCTTCTATTGCCGGATTGTTAGAAACAAAAGGTCTATTGGGTGGGGGTCATAGTGTGTGTGTGTGTGTGTGTGTGTGTGTGTGTGTGTGTGTGTGTTTTCTCTATTTGTAGTTTTAAAATATTTTATAGATCTTCTCAATTAGTTGCCTTCATAACGTTATTCAGCTTCCGCATATCTGTGTCTTTTGACCAGTATAGCTCACATTTACTGAGTATTTACTATGTGCCAGGCTTAGTGCTCAGACATTGCAATATCAGCTTATCTTAATACGTGCAAACAATCTTTACCCCCTTTTTCCTTGAAGACTGAAGCTGAGAATGGAAGGGTATCCTCTGCTTGCTGTAGTGGTTGCTCTTCAGTGCCTGTGCCACTGTGGGGGGTCTCCTAATGACCCCAGAGAGATGTGTTTGGATTTTCAAACCCTCCTGGAACATCTCTTTGTCACTTAGACTATTTTCAGCATGAAATGTAATAATATTGCAACAGACATCTTCATGGAAATAGCTTTATATTTTATTTAAACTGTTTCCTTAGGGTAGAGTCCTTTTATCTTGAGAGAAAAATGCATGTGCATTTTTTTATGGATCAGCAACTGTGAGTATTTTTATGGTACCAAATTATTTTATAAAAGTCTTATGCCAGTGTACTCTGCCAGCAGCAATAAATGAAAAAAAATATACATTTTACTCTGTCCTCAATAGTGCTGGGTGCCATAAAACAAGTAAATAAATATTAGTTGAGAATGTGTCTTTGAGGAGGAAATATGGGCAAGTGTTTAATTTGGTTAGTGTGTACTGAGGACATACACTCTACCCAACAGTGAGCCTGACATTGGAGAGACCATGGTGAACAGGGAGGTGCCCCTGGGTGGACAGTCAAGGAGTGAGGTCTCAGAGAATTCTCACCTTGACTGTGAGGACATTGGAACACTGTGTTAAACCAGGGATATGTTAGCCAGTCTGCAGATGGCCATGGCAGATCTTTGCTCTGATGGCTATGTTGTATACAATGCTTGCTGATGCCCTCTGTAGCTGCTACAAGAATGAAGACTCACCCTAAAATAACAAGCAGCTGAATAAAAGACATGTCCAAATATGCTTTATTTTGCAGGCTAATTACACATTTTATTTTGTTGACAAGCTAAAAACTTTATCAGAAACGCTGCTGAAAATGTCCAGCCTTTTCCTGAGAAGTGGAAACAGCCAGATGTTTAACCAGCTGCAGGTGAGTGATGGCTGCCTTTGCCATCGAGGGCTGGGGAAGCTACCTGCAAGGGTATGTCTGAGACATTGGAGCAGTCTTCTAGAAAATTCTACAAAGTCATTTCAGGCATGATTTTTTTCAGTTGACTGATAAAATTGGCATAAAATTAGCTGTGTGTGAAAACTTTTTGTGACTTTTCAGTGCTTTATCCATGCAAGATAACACTGCTGAGAGAATGATTTGTTAATAATATTAATGTGTGCTTTAAATTCTATTTGAAACCTAGTGCTTCTTAGATGATTCGCATACTTTTAAATTATGGGTCTATTATAATGTTCAATGATTGTTTCCTAATATTCTTTATTGACAACTTAATATTTACAAAATTAAATGGGTTGTGGTTTAAAATGGCCCACTTATTTTAGAACCTGATAATCGTTCATGGTAAAACTTTAATTCAGGTAGATCGTGTAATAACTTTTTAGACATTTGTGTAGCTGTAACTAACCTAAAATTTGATAGGATGAGAAATATGCCTGTACTTTTTATTCTTATTAACACTTTATTAACTACCAATGAGTAGTTCAAAGCATGAACTCAAGAGCCAAAATTGTCTGGGTTTGATTTCTAGCTTCACCCCACACCAGTGGTTTGATCTTGGACTAGTCACTGAAATCTATGCCTTGGGTTTCTTACCTGAGAAACAAAGAAGTAGAAGCGACAGCAGTTATGAGGTGTAACTGAGTTAGGATGTGTAAGACGCTTGGAATTGGGTTTGACATGGAGGAAATGCTTCTGTGTGAGTCCAGGCCTTCCAAGAAGCAGATGGCAAGATAGGATAACATATGCAAGAATTTTATTTTTTGAAAATGGCTGCTAGAGCAAAGGAAGAGGGAGCCCAGAAAGACTGGTGGCAAGGTCATCAACGGAGATGCAAGTCCGACCCTGTGAAGGAGAGAGGAAAGGGCTTGGGTGGAAGCACCTTGATCAATCCTGCAATTTGATGGACCTCACTCAAGGCTGTGAGTCAGTCATGGAGCTGAAGTCAGTTATCAAGGGAGGAATCCTATGTCAGTGGAGTCCAGTGTTTTCTAGCAGTGGGCCTGATGTGCTAGGCACTGGCCAGAGGCTACCCATGGGAGGTGTGGTCTCAGGGCACCTGACATGGATTCGGGAAGCAGCAGTGGGGCCCTGGTCAATTCTGTTGCTTATAGTTGTAAGTCTGCAGTGCTCATACCCACAGTGGCCAGAGCTGTATGTGTTAGCCAATATTGTAGTCTTCACAGCTGTATGCATTAGCTAGTATTATAATCTTCCTTAATTTGCTTCCTCATGGATTAATTTATTAATACAGACATCATCAAACTTTTGCTGCTAATGGGCCAGAGAGTGAATAGTTTAGATTTGATAAGGTCTCTGCTGCAACCAAAGATAATTACCTGCAATATTAGAAGTGCCAAATTGAGATGATATAAAGTACTAGGAGAACATAAAGAGGTACCTAGCTCTGACCCAAGGACCGGGCAGCTCCTTGAGAAGTCTATAGTTTAGTCGGGTTCTCTTCACTAAATAGTCACATCAGAAATTAAAGTCCCACATTCACTCACTTGAAGAACTTTCTGCCTTGCGCAGGGATAACACGTGTTAGGTGGTATTCTATTTCTTACATTGGGATCCCACTCTGGGAGCGTTCCTGATGTCTTTGGATTTGTAGCCGTCAATGCCTGTGTTTGAGGCCTGGTTCTGCCACTAGATGGAGTCGTGAGTGCTTAGGGTGAAGCCCATAAGTTTTCAGATCTTCCCTTCCCCATCAGTAAAGTCAACAGTCATCTCCTCGTGGGACACTGCTGTTGAAGTTAAGTGACATAATGTGTAATTAAATGTCCTTCACATTGTCTGGCAAATTGCAAATAACTATTGCCCAGTGAAAGAAGATAAGACTTTTTAAAATGTGAACTTCAAGGTTTCATAATAAAGTCTTGTTACCTACCCTCGAGGAGACTAGATAAAATCAACACGTGTAATAAGGTGAAGGTGAGAAATAAGAGAGATACAGAAGGGACGCATTATTTGGGAAGTCCCATATGAAGCTCCCATGTTATTAGGTTCTGTGCTGAAACCACATCTGGACAGCATGCAGATATTGTCTAAGGAAATGGCAAATTCCAAAATTAATCCCCACACCTTGACCCTGATGCTGAGTCTTGAGGCATCAGTATCTTTCTCTCAGCTTCTTGTGACTTGGGGATATTGTAAGCATGTGGCATCAGATGCACACCAGCTGCAAAATGTCATTAAGTTGATGAAAATAGTTGTGGAGAACTCTTCCCAGGACAACCATTGACAGATGAGGTCAAATTAGAACCAAATGAGAGAACAGTGGACAGGTGATGCAATGAAACATCTTTCCATGGACAGTGATTTGAAAATCGGACCATTAAAAGAACTTTTAAGAAATGCTGAAACCTTCCTTCAGTGTTTCTGTAGCAGTGACCCCCTCTTTATAATGGGCCCGTGGAAATGGTCAAGGAAAAGAATGGATCTTATGGAAAGTAAAGAATCACCACATAGGTTCATTAGAAAATGTTGCCAAAAAGTCACCACTTAATTCCTTGTCTTCAGTATTAATGCATGATTACAATTAGAACCGAACTTTTTATATTGGTTACTTTTGTTTTTCAAAGCAAAGTCCTAATCAAATGCTATCCCATTATATATTGGAGTGGGTGTTTCAGAATTTCTTTTAAGTGGAGTTACTTTACGTGTCTTTTTTTCTATATAATGAAATTTGAATAAATCTAATAAGTATTATTTAACAAGAAGAAATGATGCCATGATTTCTGTTAAGCTGCATTATTTTTCTTTAGGAAGCCCTGAGAAACAAATTTATAAGAAACTTTGTAGAAAGCCAGCTGCATATTGACGTAGGCAAACTTACTGAAAAACTCCAGATATACGGTAAGTGCTGGTGGGAATGTGAAGGTCCATCTGCCCTTGTGGTCCTTCAGAATGGGCCATGAGGTTGCTGGGTGATTATCAGCAAATCTCTTTTCCTCTCTTAGCCTTTGTTTTCTTGTCTGCAATATAAAGAGCTTGGACTAAATGCACTCCAAAGTTGTTTTGTACCTGAAATTTTCTGATTTAGGGCTTGACTGCTAAAGCGATGAGTTATAAAGGAAGGCTTCAGATTTGGATACAAGAATTGTGAGTTACAAAGCAAGTTTGGAAAATAAGCTAGTCTTATTGGATCAACAGTAAATTGAAAGCAGTCACATTGATTTTAAAAATTATCAGTCAAACATTTACTTACCTATGCAATTGATGAATTTATGGATTCATTTAGGTGTTTTACAAACATTTGTTGCACACATAAGGAGAGCAATTTCCGTGCAAGAATCCGGAGAAAGACCCAAAATATTCCTGTCTCACCAGTCAGTGCAGGGGGGAAGACTGTCTGTGCCTAGGAATGACAATGCGGGGCCAACAGAATTGGCTCTCTTGGAAATGCCCCCAGTAGCCTAATCCAGCTGTTGGAGACCCGGAGACAAGGGAAGGGAAGTGTCAGGCTGTTTCAGATTCTGTGTACCGTGATTGTCTACTTGTGCACAGGAGAGGGGCTTGGATCTGCCTGACATAGGAGGGGTGGAGGAAGGCAATGTATTTCATTTAGGCACAATGTTTCCCTTTTTGAACAATAATTTTTTTTTTGGTGAATTTACTACTTAAGATAGGTTAATATTATTTTCAAATAATTTACTACCTTAGATAATTTTTTAAAGTCATTGAAACACCCTTAAAAAGAAAAGATGAAGTAGCACTGGAAAGCTTATTATGCAGGTCTCCATCTTGTATTGTTGGAATCAAGGGCTGATGTGGATCTTACAGACTTTCGGAAGTCCATAACACAGAATTTGTTTGCTCTACAATGGTATTGGTGTTAATATAGGTGTCTTAGGCCGGGCACAATAGTGGCTCACACCTGTTTCACACACACACACACATATATATATATATATATACGTATGTTATATATGTGTGTATGTGTGTGTATGTGTGACAGTGTGAATCATACTTCTACTACATCTGATCAACACATTGCTGCTGAGAACCAACACCACTTTTGAATAGGTTTTCCCACTATGAACTTCTATTGTAAAACTAAGGGAAAAAACTTAGAAATGTAGACCTTTTCCCATAAGTGTGTTGGGACCCAAAATATGAGATTTACATGGAATTTTGGGATCTATTAGGTGTGATTCTTTGCTTCTTCCTGCTTCCACCCCAAGTGGAAGAAACTTCCACCCTAAGTTTCTCTTATCTGTTGTGGATGAATGATGGTTATTTCCAACCGACTCTGTACAACCCCCTGAGTAGGCATGGTGTGAAGATGGGCATTCTTCATGGCTAGGTAGTTGATCACAGACCAGATGCAAATCTCCTTTTGCAGCTCCCTAGCTAAAGAATAAACTCAACTGACTGTATGCACCCTTTACAATTTATATCTAGGTCATGAATACATGTCTTTATTCTATAACCCGTATCTGGAGACTGGGGTAAAATGACTGGTTGCGTTATATTGATGTATTTTCTGGGAGTGCTTATCCAATCATGGTGTCATTTTTATTTTTTATTTAACTTATAAAAAATAACTTTTTGCTTATTACAAAAACTATATATGTCTGTCGTAATGACATTAGGAAATGCAAATAAGCCAGAAAAAAAAAAATCTACCCATGATCTTGTCACCCCTGATAGCTGTTGTAAAAGCCTTGGAGTTCTTTTTTAGATGGAGTCATATTTACTTACATAAGCATAGGTATATGTATTTTCACAAAAGTGATCAAACCATCCGTATCATTTTGTAACCTGTATAAAAAAATTAACTGTTACAAAGGCTCTTTACATCCATAAATATTGACTTGGTTACTAAGAAAGAGTCTCTTAATCTGGCCGCCCTCTTCTATTTTCACTTCCTAGTAGGAATCACTTTAAACTTATTTGACAATTTTTTTCTGGATTAGTTATTATATACTTAAATAATATGCCTCTGATAGTATTTCGTTTGCTTATTGTAGGAATTACCCATTGACTTCCTGTTATGAAAGATGTGGATTTAGTTTTGCATCACATCACTTCCCTGACCAGTTGCTCCCTCTGTTCTTGTGATCATTTTTGTTGTCATAGTACATTATAACTAGACAAATATTGTTCAGTGCAGAACCAGGATACACATTATAATGAATTGTCCTTTTTATGTTTTCCTTTCCTTAGAGTTTCATGGTCTCTCTCTCTCTCTCTCTCTCTCTCTCTCTCTCTCTCTCTTTTCTGAGTTGGAGTCTCTCTCCATCGCCCAGGCTGGAGGGCAGTGGCTCGCTCATGGCCACCCCAGCGTTGACCTGCTGGTCTCCGGCAATCCTTCCGTCTCAGCCTTCCAAGTAGTGGGAACTGCAGGCGTGCGCTACCTCACCCAGCTAATTTTTTATATTTTTGATTTATCGTAGAGACGAGGTCTTGTCAAGTTGCCTGGGCTCTCAAACCATTGGGCTCAGGCCATCCACTTGCCTCGGCTTCCCAAATTGCTGGGATGACAGACTGAACCACCAAGCCCGGCCGTGGTCTCTCTCTTTTATGCAACACTTGCTGTCCATTGTTCCTGTCTGCAGTGTGCCAACAGACCATCTTAATGTCGAGTCCTTCGCTCTGTGCAGATGCCCACCTGGGGCCCCTCCCCCATGCTCACCCTGGGCAAGTGGCCTCTCTGGCCGGCTCCTGCTGCCATCCTAGGAATGTTCTTCTCTGCCTTCCCAGGGTGGACACCATGATTCCTGGGCTCCACAGCCTCCTCATTTTTGTTTTAATGCCATGTTTTGGGGTTCATATTCACAAATGTCATTGTGAAAAAGGAGGCATGAGAAAAAAAATTTCCTGAATAATTTTACTCAGTGACGTCTACCTTATATCTGAAGAATATCTCCTATTTAATTCTTGATTATTTTAATTTGTCTTCTCTCTTTCTCTCATTTATTTTAATCAGTCTTGTCAGAGCATTATCAATTTTATTTTATTTTTTTAAAACTACTATGTTTGACCTTACTTCTTCTCTGTATTTTGTGTTTGCTTCTATTTCATTGATTTCTGTTCTTTACTGTTGCCATCCTTATACTTTTTGGTTTGTTGCTTATTTTTGTAACTTTTTCAGATGGATAATTAAATCACTGATTTCTACCTTGTCTTCTTTTCTAACATCTATACTCATGACTATACATTTTCCTCTTAATATTACCTTGACCAGACTTAGTAGATCAGCCTGTAATTCCAGCACTTTGGGAGGCTGAAGTGAGTGGGTTGCCTGAGCCCGCAGGTTCAAGACCAGCCTGGGCAACTTGGTGAGACCTTGTTTCTACAATAAATTAAAAAAAAAAAAAGGTGGGTGTGGTTGCACACGCCTATAGTTCTGGTTACTTGGAAGGTTGAGGCAGAAGGATCACCTGAGCCCAGCAGGTCAACGCTGGGATGGCCGTGAGCCTGCCACTGCACTCCAGCCTAGGCGACAGAGTGAGACTCCAACTCAAAACAACAACAACAACAGCAAGCAGCAACAATAACAACAAAATTATGTTAACTGCATCTCACTAGTTTTGATATGCTGTATTTTTATTGTCATTCAGTTAAACATATTTTTAATATGTAGTATAATTTTTTTGACCTTTGAATTATTTAAAAGTCCATGGTTTAACTTATAACTATTTGGAATTTTCTACTGTGTGTTACTGATTTCTAGTTTTATTTCACAGTGGGCAGAGAATGTACTCTGTCAATATTATTTCATTTATTTGAAATTTATTGAGTCTTAATGTTCCCACACATGGTCAGTTTTTGTTCCTGCATACAATGGTTTTGCAATGGTTGGGTGCAGTCCTGTGTATCCTACTATCTCCTTGTTCTATCAGTTTTTAAAAGGTGTGTGTTTAAATTTCCCATTATGATTGTGGATTGGTCTATTTGTTTTTAAAGTCCTATCAAGCTAGACTTTATGTATTTTGAGACTGTATTTTGTTTTCTATTGAGAACCTGTTTGAGATATTTATATTTTCCTCTGTATTTATATTTTTGTCCTCTCCTCTTCCTCCCCTTTTCTTTATTTATTTTCATTGTGTTTACTGTGACAGTTTCTTTTTTTTTTTTTTTTGAGTTGGAGTCTTACTCTGTCGCCCAGACTGGAGTGCAGTGGCCG